GGAATAGCAAAATAGGGGATATAATGCAGCAATTTAACCATCAAAGCGAACAGATTCACTTACATTTTGTAAAAAAGTAGACATGTTTTTTTACTTTTACTATTTACTGCACGACATAATCATTTTAAGGGTTAGGATTAGGCTCATAGATCATTGTTACAGTTGCAAAAATGTTAGAGGATAGAAGTAGGGTTATGCTTAACAATAAGGTAAGGTTCTAGTTATGGTTAGAGAAGGGTTATGGATAGGATGATGATGATGATGATAATGATAGCAATTTAGTACATAGTTCCAAAGTAAAATTAAACATTTATCCTGAAAAGGTCCCTGTCCAATTGGCCATTGCAGTTTACCAGAACTATGCAAAACATTTGGCAAGAACCAACAGTGCTCGCCCACTCCCACTTTATAATGGAAAAAAGGACTTGCACAAGAGCTCTACCCATGTATTTCTTTACTCCACCACATGGCTATATGATAAAGGATGATGAAATCCGGTGGGGAACATTAGCAACATGTCGGGCTACATTGCAGTCCCGCTATGCAAAAAAGAACCCTAGCTGATCAAATAACAGTGTTTGCTTTTGGCCGCCACTTTAAATTCAACGTCAGCTCACCATAATTTGGCCGAATTCATTGCACCATTTACGAACGATCACACAAGGAACATTCGCAGCCTTTTTTAAAGAACATACACGCACAGCACTAGTAAGAGGGCACTCAATATGGATTCCCCCGTGTTCCTTCATAAATTGCTGCTTAGCTTTGTGGCAGAGAAAAGACACTTTATGGGTAGAACTATGCAAGCCAATTGGTAACCAAGCATGCCATTTGATTTTCAGTATCATGTTGTAGCACAGTAGCACTGTTTATGGATGCTACATTATAGGTAAGGCTTGGTACCCATACGTTTACTTGTTAAATTGACATTTTACTAAGCCCTAACCTCATCATGTAATGATTTATGTGTATGCGTTCTAAACTAGTAAAGTGCGTAGAATTTAGGCCTGTACCGTAGTATTTGGACGCTCGCCCGAAACTGGATGCTCCCAAGTGCGCATGCGCGCATGCGCCTCTTGTTTTGCAAGGGCGCACACAGCGCATGCACAGCATGCGCAGTAGTCATCTGCGCATCTTGCCCTTCGACACGGTCGCAATAAACAAACATGGCGGACTTCCCGGTCACTGATGGAAACATTTGATTTAAACAATTTGCAATATGTAGTAAATTAGTAAGACTGTGTTATGTGTGTCAGGTTACAACTACAAGGCGAAACAAAAAGAAAACAAAAGAACATGGCTACTAATACTATTTCCTACGGCCGTGCAAAGCAAGATTCAAACAAAAAGGAAACAAGAGCAAAACAAAAGAGCATGCCTACGGCGCGTCCAAATACTACGAGCGTCCAAATACTACGGTACTACAGAGTACAGGCCTACACAAGTTATTTAGGCAAAGGTCATTCCGCCTGACTCTGTTTCGGGATATCTAAACCAACCTATTTATAAAACTACAAACATTAGCGCCGTTTCTCTACATTGATATCAGAATACTTAAAATATATCTAATTAGAAGAAATCTTCAGTCACATATCGGGTTTAATTTGTTAAACCATTAACTTACAACGTCCTGCACTGGATACGGCCATTTTGGTGGTAACCTGCTACGAGAGTTGCTTGATAAATATATTTTCCTATCAAGGGAATTTATAAATTTATCGCGTATAATTATATGTAATTGTTTTTTTATTTCACCACAACTACTTAAACGTTAACTAATATTTTTTTTATCTATTGGTAAGCGTAATTAATGAGAGGTGATTGACATATCCAACATGGCCGCGCCCACATATGCTAGATAAGTGTTTGTGTAATACATAAACATGATATAATTTGTTTACAAATTACAGTCGAACCTGTTTATTTGTCATTTAATAGCCATGTATAGTGCGACAGTTACCGTTCGGTATGTATGCGCACAGTCGGATTTGCTACGTACCGTAGGCGTAGGCCGCAGGCGTAGTCAAACAGTAGCTCTTACTTAGTCTTACACTTACTTAGTCTTAGCCCGACCAGGCTGTGCGACGGATTGTCTATATCTAGACGTATTCTAACCCTAGCAATACCGTTTCTTGGAGCTAACTGAGTCTTAGTCTTCGTACTCTTAGTACTTACTCTTGGTCTTATTTATTATTATTATTATTAAAATATTTAATATGATTACTTATTCTGCATCATGATAATTCATGGTAAATGAAGTTGTGACTCGAAAATAACGCCACTCGTACTCATCATCATATCATCTAATCTTACTGATTAGTATCGTAACTGACGTAAGCACCTGCGCGTTTTAACACGATTTAAATTAATATCTCCTGTGCACGCTCTTGTCTCTTAGTGCCCTTGTGTCGACAGCCCCTCGTGGGCTGGTAACCGTCACATTGGGAACTGCTGCATTAACATATACTAGATAAGTTATAACACATCATGCTGTAGAAGATAGTGATAAAGCTAACTCAAAGGTAATGCTCTCAAGAGATATTCATTATTTAACTGTGCACTAACTTCCACAGTGGTTAAGCACAATCATAAGACTAAGCTGTTTCCCTAGTCTTGAGTGCAATACCGGTACATTATCGAAACCAACAACAATATATTGTTGTTACTCACGTGTCTTCATTTTTCAATGGATTTTCTAGCCCATTCAATGGATTAATGAGTGTGTATGGTAATATGACTTTCTTTCCTCTAATTTGGGCTTTATTGAAAAAGTTACTGTTTGCAAAAGTTCACTGTCCTCCCTAACCCGACCAGGCTGTGTGACTGACGTCAATATACAGCCTGACATCCATCCATTGGAAAATCTTGTACAGGTCTCTCTACAAAAACTGCCGAACAATTACGTATATCTGAAATAAAATAATCATCTAAGCATTTCTGCCTTGTTTTGTATTAAGTATACCCTTCACCTTATAGTATTCCAGCATTGTTATTAAAACTAATACCTCAGTTTGCTGTGCACAGTGTAAATTTCAAGAGCCGAACCGAAATTTCAACTAACCGCCAACCGCCATGTTTCCAGTGCGCATGCTTTGGAACGGCACGCGGAAAACCCGAAATGACATAACATACCATAGCGTTGCAACTCGCATTGGTGCGAGCATTAATAAGCATCATATACTCGTATATATATAAATATTAAAACATTGAAAACCAGGAAACATCAATCTACAACAACTTAATAATTATAATTGCGAAGATATGTGCTTGCCTTGTGTTTAGGCCTACGCACTGTGAAAATCAGGTCCATTGCCGATTTTAGTCGCACTGAACATGGCGGACATGGCGGCTGTCTGGTTGTTTTGATCCAATTCATCTCAGAAAAACGTCATAATTCGATAAATAAGTAGCGCCCAGTTACCGCGAGCAAGCCAGAGGTTTATAGATTCGTTTGAGCTATTACATGTGATGCTAGCTGTGTCGATGGTTGGATACCGAGCCAACTACAAGGTTTTATGGGCAAGAATTTGAAACGGTATTCTAACCCTAGCAATACCGTTTCTTGGAGCTAAGTCCTTCCATGTTATAGTAATCCAGAAGTAGTGATGCGACGTCACGTGCCATTTTTGTAAATACATTGATATACAATTTGGTTATATTTCTAGTGAACTTCGGAACCAATCAACAGGATTGGACTTGACAGTACCTACATATAAAGTGATGCCAGGCCTTTTAGGCGGTACTACAGAGTTCAGCGTTATAGTGATCACAAACCTTCCATACTTCAAGTCACCAAAACACAAAAATAGCGATGTCATCCAGTTTGTGGTATGGCTTGCTTTTAGTTTGTACCCTAATCAAACAAATCTTGATAGAGTCACAGGTGTTATAACTTTTATGATTATTATTATAAATTTGAAATTAAAATAGAAATATTTAACCAATGATAAAAGAAATTACACCACCGTGTTACCAACGTCTTTCTTGTATCTCTCGCATATAATTATTTTAATAAATGTAAAATTTTAGTTTTAACCCATTTATATTTAAAGAGATACATTACTCTAGGTTCTTTGAATATTTTCAGTTTAAATAGGTTAACATTATCCTACATAAAAAGTTTCATGGTTCAATATTCAATACAAATATTTTTTTTATGTTTTAAAACTAACGACTATAACGTTGCCTCCAACGACGGTGGCGCCACTGGACTGGAAGCGCATTCACTGAAAAGGTTGTGCAAAGCAACGTTTCGGCTGCAGGCTACAGACTGAGGGTGTTTCATTTTATTAATTTAAGAGGAGAAGGATTGCAATATCTTATAAACGACAGTTAGTTTCAACTATAATATGGACGAATTGGTCCTAAAATAAAAATCGTTAGGTTAAATAGCATGCAGTTAGGTATAAATATAATTGCACTTTTGTGATTAGCCCTCGTTTTGTAACGTTCAAAATAAATTGGCAAGTGCGCAACTTTTTCAGAGGGATAGCACAATCGCACAATGTCATGTCAGCGGTCAAATGAAAAGATTTCTAAATTCACTGTTGTTTTATGACAAACATGAATGCGTGATTATAGAAATTTGTAGGTATATGCTATTATTTAAGCACTTACTATCATAATATCAGGAGTAGATAATAGGGAAGGAGTGTGACCTCAATAAACAAGGGAAATTCGTCATTTACTAGCCTTAGAATACCTACGATTTACTACGCGTAACTCAACCAACTTGAGCTAAAATCGTACACAGTACATTCGCCTGGCATCATGCGAAATCGTTTCCTCGTATACACCAGCAATCCGGAGATACAGACTAAAACGTACGACACGATAATTCATTCTTTTGCCATCAATCCGAACGTATTGTCCGCCAAACTTGAAACAAAAGGCAGCTAATAACGCACTCTTGCTCACTCGGCGAGGCGGTGTGGCTCGCTCGGAGATTGGAGCTGGAGCTGCTGCTGATTGCGGTAAGCGTGCGTGCGTGGGGGGCATAC